GGGGATGGCCATGCCGCAATCCCTTCTCCTCCATTCTTTTCTTGGGATTTTGGGCACATACACACACATGACCTGTGTTTTCTTTCAAGCTGCTGGGTCTGGGACTCCAACTGGTTTTTCAGCCATGAGGGATCCAGATGCCTTAACTACCACGTCACCTGGCTGGCCCCTAGACTAAATATTCATTTTTTAGAAATTAATTTCTATCATGTGAAAAAAAGACAATTTTGTAGCTTAGTGGTTAAGGGAGCTGGATGCCATATGGCAGACTACGATATGAATCCCAGCCCCAAGGCTTAAACAATATGTCAGGTACATGTGTGTGTTTGCCAGTAATCACTAAAGGCTAAAGAGATGGAGGAGAAGGGTAACTATGGTGTAACCACACCCCACTGGAAGTACTTTCTTCTCCCCCTCTGTCTCTCTAGTGAGTGCACACACCCTCTGGCAATTAAAAAAATTCTAGCTAGCAGAACACTGAACATTCAGTAGTAGAACACTGTACATTCAGTCTCTAGTGCTCAGAAGTATGAAGAGAAATAGCTCGCATTCTAGTACAGAGAAATAAATGGAGGCTACAAGAGGCCCATCAACATTCTGTTCATAGTTACCAAAAAGCAAAAACAAAACCTCAAAGATGTCAATTTGGATGCCAGGGACAATGTGGGAGGAGGATGGGTCATAGCAGAGGGAGGGGGATGGGGAATCTAGGATGGCAAAACAAAAGGCAAGGTATGCAGGACATAAGAATTGGGAAATTATTTGCTGAGAACATGTATGTTGATGTGCTTGATTGAGCCAATGCACAGTGTATTTTGGATGGAAAATTCATTTGTGTGTTGTGATGGAAAAAAAATTATAATAAAAAATAAATTATAAAATAAAAAACAAAAACCGTAAGAGACAAAACCCAGTATTGTCATTAAATGCTTATCCAAGAAATACTAAAAAAAAAAAAAAAAAAAAGAAATTATTGAGAAAGTCATGAGGGGAAAAAAAGAGAAGATGACTTAGGAGGCTTTCTGAAGACTAAAACCTGACAAAAAGTTCAAACGGGTGAGGCTACAAGATCGTTCAAGAGAAAGAAGCTTACCTAGTATAGTTAATACAGAAGTTAGCAGAATTCCAGTAACAGACGTACTTCCAGGTTACCAAAGAACCCAGTTTAAACACCTTTATTGTTTTTGAGCTTTTATAACTCTATAAACTTCAAGTTTCCTAGGGTGTAAAGTATGATTAAGAAATAGTCTTAAATCTTTTTTGCCGACTTTTTCCCAAGGAAATTCTAACACTTAGACTACTCTTGATTTGGAAATAAGGGCCTCTTGGCTTCAACAACTTCTGTTTCTGTGGTTTTATGGCTGGAGTACTGCTAATGAACTACAAGTGGGTCAAGTGTTTTTAACTCTTTGTTAAGTCTGATCCTACACATCCACAAGTGTAACTGGTTTCTTTTTTCTGAAGTTCTGCTTTGCAAAGCTGCTATTATTACTATTTTAGAGATTTTTGCTATAGGGTGTGTGTGATCACTGGCAGGACTGAGAGAGACAGAAAGTGAGAAATCACCCCTAAGGGAGATGGCCACACCACAACCCTTCACTATTCTCCTCTCGGGATTTTGGGCACACACGTCTGACGTGAGTTTCAAGCCACGGGGTCCAGGACTTGAACCAAAGCTGACCAGGTAGGAGACAAGCACCTTAATCACTACGTCACCTGCTGGCCCTGCTTTTCAAAGTTTTGAAAGTATCTAGAAAACGAACTAGAGTTTAGTTCCAATAACTTCTTATTCTGTGTAACTAGAGAAATACTTTATTACCTGGAGTAAACAAAAAGTAGCCCAACTGAACCTAAACTGTTTTAGAAGGGTAAGAAGAAAGAACATACACTACGAAAGTGACAGCTTCCTGGAAACAGAAGAGAAATATTACACCCATGTTAAAACAATTAGTAATTATAACTGAGAAGGCAAAGTAAATTGAAGACAGACATTTTACATGCTATGAAGTACTATGTTGTTATTTCACACATGAGATAATTAAATGAGTTTTCTGTTGGATAGCTAGATGCCTATTATATCTTAATCAATCATAGAAATATACCTAACCCTGAAAGGAAACAAGTTTATACATTAGTCTTTATAAGAGGATTTCTAAAAGTCTGTAGAAATGAAATTAAAGTATGAGTTTATTTTGGTGCAAAATTTTTTTTAAATGTATGCATGGTTTCTTCATACTATATACTTCTCATGAACTTACTATAGAGCCCGCATACACATTATCGGTTTATTTCACTTTGTCCCTAGTTCATAAATTTTATAAACTTAACAATTGTCCTCAATTTCTTTACCTCTTCCTTAAAGGCCAGGAAAAGTAATGTACATACATAAAACTGTTGACTTTTAAGAACTGTTTGAGAATAGCAATTTAGGCCCAGCGTGGTGGTGCAGGAAGTAGGGATGCTGTTGTGCAATGCTGGAAGCCATATGGGAAGAATCCTAGGTCTACCTAAATCCTGTGCCTTTCAAATATGTCTGGTACAGTTGTGATTCTGGCTAGCTACAGAGCCAGAGGGAAAACAACAGTATGAAGACTCTGCCAAGGATCTGTCTGTCTCTCAGGAAGTAAATAAACCTAAAAAACAAACAAACATATCAAGTATGTGTGAATGCATGCCCAAAATCCCAACAGGAAAGAGAAATGGAGACGGGGTTGTGGTGTGACCACAAACCACTAGGGTGTGATTTCTCTCCATCTCTCTCTCTCTGGCATGTACACATGGTGACAAAAAATAAAAAAAAAGATCAAATGCTTTGGATAATCAGTTGAAATATAGTACTCAGCACTTACCATGTTAGATCATTTGAAACTTTCTATCCAATTCTAAAATTTCTTCCTGAGGCATTATAATATACATACTTAAATCAATTAAATTTTTTTAAACGAGATTTTTGCTATAGGACATGAGTGTTCACCAATAACAGACAGAGACAGACAGACAGAAAGCAAGAAATCACTCCCCAGGGGGATGGCCATGCTGCAATCCCTTTTCCTCCTTCCTCCTCCTGGGATCCTGGGAACGCACGCACATGCACTCAGTGTAAGTTTAAGCCGGTGGGTCTAGGACTTGAAATGTGGGACTATGTGGGAGTCCAGTTATGAAACCATTACGCCATCTGCTGGTTTTGTTTTTGTAAAGATAGCTAATCTTGCCTAGGCCAAGCTCAGAAACAAACATCCAGCAAATGTCTTTAGAGGCTCTCAAACTCTGGCACCATTCAGAGTTCGCGGAAACAGACTTTACCTGAGTTTCCAATTCAGTAAGTCTGGGGTAGGGCCTGACAATATGCATTTCTAAAAAGTTCCCAGAGGATGGTGACACAACTAGTCTGGAAAATCTGAGAAATAATTTTAGATTAATAGCTTTGTTTTATTTTTCCTTTAGAGGTTTTTGCCTTAGGGCATGTGTGCTTGCTGGAGAGAGACAGACACTGAGACGGAAAATGAAAACTCATCCCCTCCAGGGGAGATGGCCATGCAGCAATCCATTCTCCTCCTAGGATCTTGGGCGCACACACACACCTGGTATGATTTTCAAGCCACTAAATCCAGGACTCAAAACACAGTGGGCCATGTAGGAGTCCAGTGACGTAACCGCTACACCATTTGCTGGCTCCTAGATGAATGACTTTTAACCATGACTATGCAAGAGAATTACTAGTGTTACTAGGAAAT